GTTTTTGTGGAAGTATATGCATATATATATATATGGGCGCGTTTCATGGTATTATATCTTAGTGGGCTGCTTTGAGGGGTGCTGGGTGGTGAGCAGCACTTTGGTGCCTTGTGCCCGACGTATTCACAGAAATTGAGCATGACTTAAAGCATGACTCATGACTGTGGTTCGGGTTTTTGCACAGCCCACCTTATGAGATGTGGGTGTTCTGAGTAACTGTAACACCTGCCCTAAGCAGGAGGCGAACCGAAGCTGTCTTCTCCAACCCATCTGAGAGCCACTGCACGTCTGGGCTTCCCCACTCACAGTCGCACTTGGCCCGGTCCGCAGCTGTGCCACCAGGTTCCAGGGGGCACCAATAAGCCCCAGGACCTTTGAAGAACACCAGCAAAAACCATGAAAAATCCATTGAGATGAGGTCAAAACTCAAAACCAAACACACCGAAACTGCAGGGAACCGTTTTTAGTTATGTTTAATCATTTGTTCAAAGGCAGCAACACGAACCGACCACACCCACAAATAAAAAAAGGTAGGTTGGGGTGACCTCCTGTCTTCATTTTTGGGGAGTCAACCACCAAGCAATATGACTTTCTTCGCTGCCACTGTCGCTGCCACTGTCGTCTCGTCTCTGAGAGCCCAACCAAGGTTACCTTGGTAACTGCATGTCTCCGTAGCACAGGATTGGGCCCCAGTTTCAGACCACCACCACTCCTTGGCACAATCATGGAATTCCAAATCGATCAAAAACATTGGAAGGCCAGATGCTGCTAGATGCGTAAATAGGCAACTCGTGTTAACCTGTGGTCAAACTAATTCCAACATTGCTTTGGAACTTTGCTACTCGTGGTCTTGTGACGTTGCAGTTGAGATTCTCTCCCAGTGGCTGCGTGGATTTCATGGCCTCGACCGAAAAGCAGCGTTGCTTCAAGGTAAACCACCAAAACCTTCTGAAACCTCAATACCTTCACCCAAAAATGAACATAATAGACTACTGGCTAGGTCAACCTACCAGGGTTCCGAGTTTTGACCCACAGCCCTTTTTGTAGTTCCCCTGACCTCAATACCTCCGACAGCTGCGACAGCTGCCCACAACCTCCAAACATCTCTAATTACCTGCTTGGCCCAATACATGCTGTTGCTGTTCTAGACTTTCAGCAAAGAAGGCACCTACTTGCAGTTTCTTGAGTAGTTTTCTAGGGTGCTATTTTCGCTTGGGAAAGAAAATGCATATTCTGCATCATGAGATGTGTCTGGGAGATGCATGGAAGTGACTAAAAACATGGAAAGACACATGGTTGTTGTAAATCAATTATGTCTGACTGTACTTCTCATCATCGTACCATTTGCATCACTAGGTAGACTAGGTCCATGAAAAGGAAACAAACGACTCCGTTCAGCAGTCTATGTCTTAATACATGTTTCATGATTGCATCATACGCATCAGTTGGTTGCAATTGTATAGTTTGTTATAGCAGCATATGCACGAACTGGTTGCAAGTGTGTAGTTTATTGTTTAAAAATGCCGGCAAATTAGTGTGGGCGCTAAATTTAAAAAGACGATTATATATAGACTCTTCTTGGTGTTTATTCATCCACTGCATTCGGCGTTCTTCTCTAAGTCTTGTCTCGATCATGCACACTGTATAGTTTATTGCGCATAATCGCTTTATTCTTCGGCCAACTTGCACCCCCTGAGCAATGTGCAACTTCAAGGGGATCCAAAAATATATCCAACATTATCCAACAGTGCTTGCAAGTTGCAAGTAAGATGTGGCTAAGCAAGTTGTAAAAGTGTCCAAAACTAGAGTGATTATACATGTGTGATTATAGATACTTGTGTCATTTATGTTCATCCACTTCATGTTGTACATAATAACTCTATTTTTCGACCCCCTTGACAATGTACAATTTCAAGGGAGTCAAAAAGTAGATCCAACAATGCTTGCAAGTTGCAAGCAAAACACAACTAAACAATTTGCAAGGAAATCCAAAAATACTGTGATTAGAGACTTCTTTTACCTTCTCTCTGACAGCCACTTGGTGCAGGCAATTGTTGTCGCGAAGTGACCCGAACATCCTCGCTGAACAAGTCTCCCCAATGCTAACCTGGTGCGTATCAACTCCTTCAACTCGCAAAGAGGTAGGCTATTGAGCTGCTTGGAAAAAATACCTGAGAAGGGAGGGGGCAAAAGCTAGCCCCTGTAGGGATTGAGAAATGTTTCGGTTATGTAGGCACGGGACAAGAGAAGGCAGTGATATGCAATGTTTCACATTGACGGTGAATATGATAGAGCCAATTTATACACGGGCTCTCACGCAGGGAGGGATCGCACATCGAAGCAAAAGTAGATATATGCTTCTAGGCTGGAACACAGGGAGTGGCTGCGGCAAGCCACATCAAGCTTGCAAGCTATGCTGGACCTTGCTTAGGACTGATGAAGCGTGGCTAGCGTGGCCAAAGACGGTGCATTCGGTCTTCAGTCTCCTCTCCTCACACACCTGGTCAGCTCACCTCAGTAGACAATTTACTGTAATCACCTCTTCAAAACCCTTGGATGCTAGTGATGCCTACTCTGCACCATTTGCATCACTCGCATCAAAACACTCAAAACATGCATGTTCACTACTTTTTGGACCGCCCACCAAGCTGTGGGTGGGTTCACACTACCCAGGTTGTCCATCGCTGCAACCACCTCCACCCCACACCCTATTACTTACTCACTTCGTTCGCCCATCGAGGACTCAGCCAAGCCTATCGGCTGACTCCCGTAACATAATGCTATTTAATTAGATCGAAGATGTTCATTGAAAAGTAGAATTTCCAGTCTGCAGCATGAAATTTGCTTTCCCAGTCTGCAAGGTGCAAGGCTTTCCCAGTCTTGTGCTCTCCGGTTCTCCAAGGGTCACGCCACTTGTGACGGGCCGCACAGAACCAGTAATCGCATCACCCTCAGTCTCCCAACGCTCAATTTCAAAGTATCCCAACAATCATTTAATGAAAGACCAAACAAGATTCGAAATGACCCCAACATGACTGACTTAGTGTCTTCGTCCAAAGCGTTGCTAAGATCTCAACGCCACAGCTTCCATCCTGACCAAAACCAAAGAGACCGCCGAAAAAGCTATCGCACAAATCCCACGAGCTGTGGCTTCCATCCCGCCTCGCTCCGGCGAACGGACGGGTCGGAGAACAGCGGGTCAGAGCTGTTCAAAAAAATCTCCGCGACATCAGTGACATCGAACGTCGCCGCAAACCTGCCAAGTTCGGCGACGGCGTGCAAAGCCCACACTGCACCCTGACCCCGAGCATCTCCGCCATGAGCGAAGCCACTGTAGAGCTAGCGACCATGTGTGTGATACCAGAGTCAATTATTGCACCAACCATGGCAGTACTTCCACCTGCATATGCATACTGCATACTCACAAGTGTCAGCTAAATTCATACCCATTTGTAGCCGAAACTTGTGGCTTTCCAGGACTCAGAGTGCATAGTAGATGTGGCACCCCCGGCAACTTCCGTTGCATGCACATCTAAGCTCTAAAAGGCGCGTGATGAACAATGACAAGTGCATCCCATCAATCTTTGTAATTAAACCTCCAAGATTGGGCGAGCGTTGCCAAAGGTTGGCCAGACCTTCAGGAATTTTGAGCTCTGAGAATCCTTACCTTGCCGGACAAAGTGAACAAAGCAATGCTGGTTGGCCGGCCGGACTTGCAATTAACATTGTCGGCATGTACATTTGCCAGGGCAGGAAGAATGATTGCTGGCTTAAAAATGTCCTTCATCCCATGTTGTCATGAGCTCTTGCTGGCATCATGCCTTTTGCTTGGTCTGCACTTGAGTTCTTGATTGCATGATGTCACTTCTTTAATATTCACTCAGGTTGGACTTGGTGGTAGCTGCCCTTGTCTTGGCAGCACTTACAGCACAATTCTCCAAACCTTTCCACAATCGAAAATCCTTCCTCCCAGAGTCCGAACTTGTTCAGACAGTTTTCACGAACATGCTGATCACTGATAACTCTAAAACAAACAATCTTAGCCAAAGCTCCCAAGCATTTCACAGTCTTCAGTTCCTTCCTGCCAGGGCTTAAGAACTAGAAAGGAATAGATTGAGCGGCAAATGCAAGAATTAGAAGATGACAAGCTCATACCCCGTCAAAGGCTTGGGGCTCTAGCTTCCTTGCCACAATCCTTTTGCACAAGGTGATCATTGTCCTGCTAGTTGCCTGAAGGATAAGTCCTGTAGCCTTTGTGGCATGTCATATGTGCAATTTGCAACACTTCTAGGTTTTGTAGGTACTTCCAACTTTTTGATTATACTTACCTCCCTATCATTAAAATATGTTTAAAGACCAAACGAATGAACGCAATAGAGAAGATGCAGTGAAAGCTGCAATGTCAACTGCCAAAACCCAAGCAATTTCAGATTTAGCACGACTACCCAGGAATTTCACTAAATCAAATCCAACCGGCAAAACCGGCTGTCAAAATGTGGGTGGTTTTCGAACAAAGTATTAGTTCAATTCTGTGCTCAGCAAACTCCTGACAACGAGTGACCAGGTTGACTGGTTGACTCGAGTTTGTAAATCTGAGGCTTGCCTGGTCTGAGCAAGCAACAGCAGCACTACAAGCCCAAAACCTGCAGAATCTTGGAGAAAACGGTTCAAAAACACTGAACATGCAAACACGCAAAGACTTCAAGAGCGCATCATTTCGGCGCCCTGAAAGGATTGATGCCTTTAATCGATACAAATTACTGACAGCTGCTGATGCCCACAAACACTGTCTCTTGAATAGGAGTATTCTGAGCTCCAAACAATTCTGACCCATCACTGCTACGTCCGCCAGGTTGAATTCCCAAGCGGGTACACTTGAGCCAAAGCCAAAGCCAGTCGAAAGGCAAATGAGAATGCAAAATTGAGGAAAACACTAAAGGTGTTAATTAGATAGGTCAGTGTCACTGGGTTGGGGCATCTCTCAACTGTCTTATGCTTGCACTCATGCTGCCCACGCTTTCCTGGTTCACGGAGCATTCAGTTCTCCAGCAAGTCTTTCTTGAGCATGCTACAGGCTCAGATTGAAACTTCACTCCGAGCCCACCCACTTCGATCCGAGCCAAACTGTCTTGACATGTCAGAAATGTCTTGTCTGCTGATCGGCAATGATAATGATGTCCGACCTTGGCAATAAAAAAGGGGTCGATGCCAAATACCATAAAACCAACTGGTGGTTCACTTGGGGGAGTATCCTCTATTATATAGTCAACCAACCAATAAACACCAATAGTCAAAGGCCATCTATGCTTATTGGAGACCTTCTATATCTTCTATGCCGCTGTGCTGCAGTGGCGGCAGCCGCGGCCGAAATCTGCATGTGTTGCGAGGGCCGTGCTGCCAAAATCTCATCAGGTTTCTGCTCCTCATGTGGTGTGACAGTAAACGAAGGGTGTGGATACCTCTCTATATATATATATATATGAGAGGATATATTTTGTATGACGTTCAATGACCATGCAGGACTCTAAACTATCTCTGCTTGTCAGTTGTTGGGATTCAACTCTGCGGCAACGTGCCTTCAGCAGAAAAAAAAGAAGAAGAATCTGATTAAAGAAAGGTCATGCGTCCATGCCACGCCGGTCCTGACCTCGTCGGGAGTCCGGCGGGGCGGTGATGACCCGCTCCGAGCGCGAAGCTTTCGCGCGTCGGAATGTGTTGGGCAGAGAAGGTCCGGTAGCTAAATCCACCAATGGTAGTTCAAGCAAGGCAAAGGCTCTCCATGCACAATCGATATGGCCTCAGAAATAGAGAGAAGGCGGCGACACAAAACACTTGACTTAGACGCGATGTTGCAATCAATCTTAACCAGAAAAGACCTTCATTCACATTCATTCTCCTTGCTTCCTTCAGTTCGCCTCCAGAGAAGTGCGACTGAGAAGCTGAGTGAAGAATGCTCTCGGCTTTCGGCAACGCAACAAAGACCTGTTTTACTCAGAGTAAGCCATCTCTCATTCACTGAACATCAACAAAGATAGAGCAGTCAAGAACTGTAAAACCAAGCCAGCAGGACATCATCACTATGATTGTAGGCATCTGCATCGCTCATGTCGCCGATGTTCGACAAGCGTGCCTTGTTCATTTCGCCGGGGGCATCAGAACATGAAGTGTGACAAGAAGTGGACGTCAGTCATTATGTGTAAAATTATCCGATGGACTTCGTCAGTCATGAGTCATCAGTTCATATATGTAAACATCAACAACTCGATGGCCGCTGGACTTAGTCGCTGGCTTCTTTCAAACTCCCTTTCACGTCGTGTGGCCGAGTGCACAGGTGGTGGATGCCTGCCTCACAGGTGGTTGGGTTCCCTTTTTTCCCGTTCAGAACCATCGAACCAGCTGAACTCAGAACTGTTTTCCATCGTCTCAGTGGTGTGTGTCGGTCTCAGTGGCCCACCAAACGAGCTAATCCTCCAAAGATTTGGGAGTAGTCGTTGTTCCAGAGATCAGAACCTTGGAGCCATGAGCGCGAGACGAAACCGACTGGAGCCGCGAGGACCATAGTTGTTTATTGGAAGAACTAAGATCCTTACACTGCAGCCAGACCGGAGAACTTTGGCTCCTGTCGGCTCTCTGAAGCAAGTGAATGGGTGATGTTGGACATTTCAGAGGGCTGATAGAAGACTTCCTATGTCCAATGGCCTCAGAGAATTGACCCGTGGCTTCGAGCATGTTCTTCTACAACCCTCACCAAAGTCAAATGGTGGTACAGACTGGAGGTGGTTTAGAATGGTTTAGCTGATCTAACCCCACCATTTAGTATCAATGAAACCCAGTGGTTTTGGGGGTCCATGTGGACCGAATCACAGGGGAGTAAGTAGGCCACACCGGCCACACCTCAACTCCACGACAGCGCCACCACGTCGTAGTGCCCATAGCCATGCAAGGCCAGCCCCATGCACGGCCAAAAGGATATCCTAAGCGACAACTGCATGGAAGACACCGAATTCACATGAGAAATGAGAAACTTCTTGGATAGGTTGCATGTACGGCAAATGTCTGGGCCCTAGCAAGCCCAAGGTCATGTGCTTGGAATTGCGACGTGTGCCCAGCAGTTTCGAGAATCTCAAATGAAATCAACGTGTCTTGTCCACGTCCCGCTCCACAGAGACTCTAGTTCATGCCAGGCGTCCGCATCAACGAATTGGCGAAATTGCTCCACCCAGGGCGTTCCATGTGAGAGACCCTCTACTTCCTTGATCTGAAGTTTGAAGTTCCTGCTGACAAAGTCCATGACCTGGCTTGGGGTTAGTGGTTTGGAGTGTCGCCCTTACGCATCAAAAGAAAAGCGTTTGCAATATGCCGGAGTGCCTCATCATAGTTTTGAATTCGGCGGCCATCTTGCTGTGGTCTTTGAAGCACTGCTAGTGTCAGACCTGGCACTTTTGAGAGTACAACGGACAAGTTACATAAAACGACACAAGTTACCAGCATTTCCTCCGGCCTGCAGCGGATGGCTGCGATGTTTGCCGGTTAAAACCTGGAGTTCCTTGAACCCATTGTTTCACTTGATCAAGCTTCGCACAGGTCAATTGAGGCGTTTGCAAAAAGGAGCGAAGCGAAGGGAGTCCAAGGATGACTCGTCCGTAGCTGCATCCATAGTACTTGGCCAAGGGCCTTGCCGGACGTTCGGAAATCCACTTGAGAAGATCTGCATGAAGCCCCAGAAGGTTTTTGGAATCCACTCTCCAGTGCATCATCGCCTCTTCCGTCTTGAAGGGAAAGTCGTGTTGCAAAATAGACCAAATGGAGGGCTCTGTGTGCCCTCGAAAGTTCCAATCAAGCTTTCTCCCCTCTGCGGTTGAGATCGCCCAGTCAGTTTCCGCATGTGGAAACACAAGTGCCACATCAGTGTCTCTTTCTTGGAGTTGAAGGAAGATCTTGGAATACCAAATCACTGGGATCCACCAATGCAAATGGTGCCATGGGTTCGCTTCCCACGACATGGTGATCGGTATCACTAGGAGAACCGGCGCCGTCGCTTCCGCTTCACAGCCGGAATCCGAATTCGTGGAATCCGCTTGGAGTTCCTCCACGGGTCGCGGCAAATGATTCAAGTATAACCAAAAGCGGCCAAATTCCGTACAAAGCGGACCGTGCCTCGTCTGATTGTGGGAGGGTGACAGGAGCTGGACCAAGTGCAAGGTATGTGGTCCGCATTGCGAATACCAAGCTGATCCAGTGCCGGGTGAACTCAATCTTTGCCCAAACAAAGAAGACCTACGGGCCCAGGCAATCCGCTTTTGCAGCCGCGCGCCAAAGATCACTCGATTTTGCTGCCCTGCATTCTGCAACAGAAGCCATACAAGTCTGGCATAGTGCAGAGCTGCATCTCGCACGCTGAATTCCCATGTTCGGATGTCGAGACAATCTTGTGCAAAGGTGGCGAGCTGAAAAATGCCCTCATGCAGCAACAGAACTTTTGTGAGATCTTGCTCAAGGATGCAGCCATGAAGCAAACTAAGGAGCGTTGACAGATCACCGGGGATACATTGTGAAAAGAATGCAGTTCTGACGATGGACCCCGCTTCCAAGTCCATATCAGTATGTAGCCGGCAGTTTTGCAGGCTCAATGCTTGATGTTCTATGGAACTGCTGTTCAAGAAGACCTGTGGAAAATGTGCTCGTCCCACTCCCGCCTGCAGTAGCTGAGCGCCCGTTCTGGAAAAGAACTCGCCGGCTTCGACACATCGGCAGAAATCCCGTGCACCCCAAGCGGCAAAGTAAATTCGGGTAAAACCCGACCATAAGAGGTCTTCTCGTCTCAGAATGGCTTGCACAAATCGTGGAGTTCTCAGAAATCGATGAAGGACATGCAAGCACAAAAAGTACCTCAAAGCGACCTGGAAAGCTGTCCGCATGAAAGGCAATTCACCCAAAATGGTGTGGTTCTCAACGAATTTTAGCTCTAGCAGAGCTTGCTTCAAGAACTCGTGCACGAAAAAGGCTGCAGCCACATGAGACTTGTGAGAGTGAACTGATCTCAAGCGCGCCAAAAATGGGACTTGTGGATCATCTGGTGGCAGCAACTGATAAATCATTTCGTGAATGTGTCGGCTCACCGGGTCTCCACAGCACCTCTCCATGTCCTCAACGCTGCTGAAGCATGCTTCCTTGCGAGCGAGGTCATAGCAGCAAAGCGCACGACTTCGGCGAAAGCTCCAACAGTCCGACGGGTCCGCGAACGTGGCAGGTGAGAAGGCCAGCAATGGCCAAGCTCGAAGGAACTGTACGAACATGGCTGGAAGGCGGACATGTCCGGAATCCGGTCGAAGAAGCCACGAAAAAGCTCTGGAATCCGATAAAAATCGAAGATAGCTTATGTTCTCGTAAAATCGTGTAAACAACCTATTGGAACATGCAGTTAAATCGTGCAGCAACCTTTCTCGTAAAATCGTAAATCGTGCTCTACTATTGCTGTCCGAAAATTGAGTCTGAAATCCACCGGAAACCAACGAAACACGAGACTGTAGAGGGCTTGGTCATGTCGAGGGCCAAAAATGCATGTCTCGTGGGTCTTTTGAGAGCTATATACCTGTTCCTCACCGGATTGAACGAGGCCAAAGTTGAGGAAAGCTGGCGATGGTAGTGAGTGCCGGACAACACGTCTTCAACATGGAACTCTTTCGACAGGGGCGGCCCGACTGCTTCACAGGGTCACCAGAACTTCGTCAACAGGGATGATGAAATAGACCAGTGAAGTAAAAAAACAACAGGTCATCCTTCGGTCATGCACTGGTCATGCGGGAACATACATGAAATCAATCTGGTGGTGCAGTCTTGGGATTCTCTAACATATATCCGCTTCCATGTCATCTCGTTATATTTTGGTAGAATCTTGTGGAGAAACGTTGCTGTTGCTGACACTGAAGAGTCATTAAGATATTCTTGGCAGCAAACCCATGGTTGCATTGACTTCAAGTCTAAGTGCATTGAGGTGAATGAGATCATAACTTGCGTGAATCTACTTCTTGTCCAGCTTGCGTGTAGGGGATCTTGGAGTTCCTGTTAAGGACCAACAGAAAGGCGCGTCCTATCCACAGAGTTGGACGTTTGTGTGGTGCTACGCCACGGACCATCTCGCCACCATCTCGCACCTCGACAAGGTGTCCACAGCTCGAGATACGATTTTGGACCCTAAACAGCCAAAAGTAAGAAAAGTGTCCGAGGACTCAGAGATTGCGGTATTAAAACAGGGAAAAAAAAAACATAAACATGATGTGTGCGCTCTGGATTTTGTTTGCTGCAGGTCACAGGTCACTGCAAATCCCTGAAAACCCTTTTAGGGTTGGGAAAATTACAGCATCTTTTCAAAACATTGATGAAGAGGATCAACATGGGTCAACATCACTTTGGAGGACCTTTACTGTCATTTGGACAGTCAACGTGGGCGCGTTTGCTGTTGACATGGATGCCGACTCTTTTGAAGTGAGTGCATCAGCATCTCTTGAAGCTCGCAACACCTTCTTTTTCAATCTCTCTTTCGACCTAGGAAGAGCTTCGGGAGAGATTCCACACCACTACTTAGAATTGCAGCACTTGAAGTGCAAGTGTGGTTGAAAACAAAAAAAAGAAAAGAGAGACAAAGAAGGCACGAACCCTGCGGAACGAACGAGGGAAACAGTACGTCTGTTGTCTGGTCCATCAAACACTGGGCGGAACTTGAGATGCTGACTGCAAGACTGATGGCTGTTCGCCTCGGTGCAGCGAACGAAGAATGGTCTCTGATCATCGAACAGACCAGTCTTCACTAGTCTTCACAGGCAGAAGACTAGAACATCTGAGAAGAAAACAGGGAGGCCACAGAGCAACTGCTGCGGGACCTGACCACATTTGTCTGTGGGTCACCCAGATCACTGCGCATCCGCCCCGCTTCACGTCTCCCCATCGCTTTCACCCCCCAAATTTGAAGCAATGGCCTCCAACCTAATAGCGATACTTTCACCCCCTAGTAGCGTCCGATCGCAGGCCAGGAGCCCCTAGTAGGTAGCGTCCTAGCGTCCGATCGCTCCGAATTCGTAGCGATGCCAGGAGCTCCGTTCGTAGCTTCATGTTCCGAAAAAAATGCCCTCTCAGCACTGAGGACGTGAGATCGTCACGTCTCGTCCACCGACGACCTCGTGGACTCGGCGGGACTTCGTTCACTGCGTCGTGACGTCCGGCTGGACCTCACCTCGGTGAAGGGCGAGGTAAAAAAAACGGAGAAGTAACCAGGCGTCACGAGCGTTACCAAATTGACCCGTTTTCTGTGGCCTTTGAATTCCTTTCATCCATGTTCATCCCAAATTCCTGATGGTTCTTTGTCCATGCTTTTCTGTGAGAATGCAAAAAAAAAGCCTTCGGGACAAGCATGCTTGGCCGAGCTGCTGGAGCTGCTGGAGTATTGCAAGTGCTGGGAACCTGCAGGGACGCCACAGTACGACTCAATGGAATGCAATGGGTTTGTATTTCAATAGGGAGACCCTCTGGCCCAATGGGGTTTACTCTATGTTTGCTCTTCCTAAGGAGGCCAAAACACCCTATCCTAAAACACTCACATGCTGGGTAGTTCGAGGCGGCTGGCGCCAACAGTGACACCGTTGGCCTTCTCATTTTCAAGCAGCACCTGCAACGCCACTGCTTGTGCAAATCTGTTCAGCGTCCATGGCATCACACCATTGGGCATTCTATGGTAACTATTGAAATTGGCCACCCACTCGACTCTCCGAAAAATATGTGCAAGAAACAAACGTTGTTGGTTGCATCATCAAGATTCTGAACGCTGTTGGATGGAACTTGGAACTATAAATCAGAATCTTTGGTGGAAAAAGAACAGGAACAGTACAGGAACTAACTCTGAAATGCAGCGTACGTATAATATCGTGTAATGCTTCAGAAGAACAAGTGTCCGCCCAAGCCCACGCCTGTCTCCCTGCATATCTAAATCTCTCCCACGACCTCGTAGATTCAGCGGGCGACTACTTTGAGGTCTGTTGGAACTTTCAGTGAGCAACAAAGCATCCACACAGGGAAAGCAAAGAGGCCACAATAATGCTTGCTTGTGACAGATCACCCAAACATAAGCTTCGGCTTCGTCCAAGTGGCTTGTGGCCAGCAATTTCGGGGATGACCACCGCGCGGTGGACGCTAATGGCTGGAACCTGGGAGAAACACCGTGGGACCTCCCCTGCCATGCGCGGCACAGCGAACCGGACCACCGGCGCGTCGCGAAGCGGTGGCCTTGTCGTTGTTGTAGGGGTCGAACAGGCCCTCGTCGCCTTCCTTCGGCACTGCATCTGGCACGGGGCGGCCAACTTCGTCATGGTTTCTGCCACATCTCTTTATCTTGGCCAAGGTGCTGGAACCAAAGCGACCAAGCCAATAAGACCTGGAACATGCTCGGAACGGGTCTGTGCTCTCCCCGAATTTGTCGAACGGCCACTTTGATTCCAAAGATTCACAACACCAACCTGCCAACACCCGGCATCCAGGCAGACAAATTGCTATCTTATGCTATCTTCAAGTGCCTTCAAGTGGCTCCTTGACATCCAGATATTTGGATGCAAGGCTTGATGATGCTAGCTTCCAGTGGGAGTGACCATGCAATGGCAACTTCCATTCGTTAGCAGCTTTGAATGCATGGCTGCACAGTCCGGAAGATGGACACCCACATGTTTGGGTCTACAAATTGTGCTTCTCTGTTTCCAGGCCTTTCTGAGGCAATTTCTATGCGTTCCAAACAAATGTATCGAATAATGGAAAGATAACTATCTGTTCCTATCGGTCCCAGAAGCCACGTTTGACACCCAGATACCTGTGGGAAAGTTTTGCACTTTGACACAAAACTGGTTGTTAGGACGCCTAAGCCACTAATCAGAACCCTTGGAGTTGTGGGTTCCGCCGCAGGTTCGGAGGCAGCCACACACAACCAGGCAACCAAGCAACCAAGCAGGCTCGCTATGGCAGGCTGGCCATGGCAGGCTGGCTGGCAAGCACAAGTGAGGTGGGAGAACAGAGAGCAGGGAAAACCACAGGGCAAAAGGGAGGGGAGAGCAGAAGAAAACAAGAAAGGACACGACCGGACAAAGAGAACGGGAAAGGGTAGAAAGGAAAACTGATCACTGGCCTCCAACATTTTCGGGGCTGCTGCTCACGAGCTTTGGCGTGTTGGTGTTCTTCTAGGGAGCGTGGGGGAACCGGGCCACGGCACAAGCCAACCAATAGAGGAGCGAAGACACACAGAACCAAGATAACCAAGCAAGGACTGAAAAAGAAAAAGTTGAATCATGATTGCAGGACATAGCTGAAAGAACCTCAATTCAACTAAAAAGAGCCTCAGTAGCAACGCTACAGCCGGATCTTCAGCAACGCCTAAGCAAAAAGCCCTTCAAGACAGTTTCACCATCCAACGAAAAGCTTGAGATAGTTTCATTGAAACACCTTCAACGATCCAAAAACACTGCAAAAACACTTGGTATGTCCGGCCTTCTGCACCTGTTCTCACGGAGAATCATATCCTTGCAAGCTGAGACACACGGTCATCCTTGCAACCAAACATGCACCGCCCATCGCCCATCGCCCCGATTCGGCCTGCCATGCCATGTTGGCCTTGACCTTGCACCACCCCGCGGCCACTGGTGAATCGCAGGAAGAAACATCATCCAGTACGCTGTGCTCGTCTGGACTCGTCTCTGTCAGTGATTTCTCAAACACTGATGGAAAAAAACGGCTGAAACCGCTATGAGTGTCGCAGTCTAACTACTGAACGAATATGCTGGGCACCAAGCTGTCATGGCGTTCACTTCGGCCACTGTTACGCGATGCTGCGCGTTCAACGGAAGGGTGTACGAGCGGTAAGAACCCAAGGAGTCCAGCGTCTGTTCGGCTGGAAGACTTAAAGTTAAACATGCCAGTTGATAGCGCTCTTTTTTTGTTGTACCCTCATGCTTCCTTGCAAAGCTCTGTCAAACTTGTCGGCATTGAAGCCAAGCTAAAATTGCTAACCAGCACAAGACATTCCTCACAAAATGCAATAGGAAAAGGCTTTCACACCACTTACGAGTACCACCGCTGCCACCACCACCACCCATCGCCCAGAAGAGAGTTCGCAGCTTCTTTCCCCTTCGGCGTCTTGCGTCCAAGACTGGCCAGCACCGAAGAGACAGCTCCGTCATTTCACCAGAACTGCTATGGCTAGGTTTTGCCCGCCAACATCGTTAACCAGCGGATGAAGATCCTCCGCCTTAGATCACCTCAGTCACGGAAGTCACAGACCAACCACATCAAGACCAAAAAGGCTGCTTACGCACAGCGCGTCAACTTGGGGTTTGACTTCCAATAGCTGTCGAGCTCCTTTCATTTTGGCACCTTGCACCTTAGTCCAGCATAAAACCAATGGATTCGTTCGTGCGTACCATCCGGGTTTTTGTTTGATTGAATCAGCCATTAGAATTCGTAGAAACGAGACGAACTCAACAATCCGGCCTCCGCATCTTGTGCGGATCTCTCAATTTGGCTTTTCTTCCCCCTGTGACATTGCTTAAGTCAGTGATGGAATGTGTCGTACAGAACTTGAACACTTCGCCTCAGAGCTGCCAGAATTGGCTCTTTGATTGGGTCACCTGGGCAGTAAGTAAGGGTCCCCGCACAAAACGGGTGCGCACCTCAAAATGCTTCATGGCTCAGAGATGGACGCTTTAACATGGCTAGGAGAAGAAAAGCACATCTGCTTGTAGCGGCCACAACCATCTGCGGCCTCAAACGAAGGAACTGGTGTAGAAGAGACAAACATGGGCCCTGAGTGTTTGACTTTAGGCACTTTTCCCAGAGTGGTTGTGCTAACTTTGGTCCCTGAGGCAAGCTTTCGAATCAGGACATCTTTGAAGAACTTACTTGGTCGGCACAAGTAATATCTGCTCTATATCCAAGCCTTCTCAGGCTCCAGTTTCAGCAGAATTAGCATGGTCGTGGTGACTGTGCCACTGTTTAGAAGGCCAAGGTTTTCTTTGGTGGCCTGGACCCGACGCCATGTCAATGACAGTCAAGTGCACAAAGGACTAAACGGGGGGGGTCCTGCCTCAGCTTCGGCTGCCGCCACAATAGCCAGTATGAGCTCTTGATCCCAATCACTTGCCAGGAATGCAGCCAGCAGGTCCTGGCACCGTTTGCGGCCCACACAAACCAATGGACGAACAGGAAATTGGAAAATGACCAAACTGGTGTTCCACTTGGAGAAACATCTCAAACTGCTTGAAAAGGGTCACCCCCCCCCCCCCCACCGTCGCTTAGTCACGGTAGTCTGTGGGCCGGATTTTCTGGCGGCCGAACGGCCGTCCTTCGCACTGTTGTCTCCAGCTGCTTCCAAAGGCTTCTGTAGAAACACAGCGCGAATGGATGGCCTGAAGTTCTGCCGCAAAACCTACTTGAGCTGTGTCAAAAACCACTGGTGGCGGTGGGGTTCATCATCTAAATTCCTTTCTTGAGGGTATTTGACACTGCTCACTGTTTTCGAACTCAAGAAAGAATCAGTGGCTCACTTCAGCATCCGCACGAGCTCTTGTCGTCTGGCCTCCGGCTCCTTAGGGCGACCACGGGAGGACCGTTGGCCGATGGACACCGAGGAGCAAGACTTTGAGCGAGCTCGGCGAGGGCAAGGAGGCACACTTCTGCCTCGGGGGGGGGGCGGCGTCCGCAAGGAGTTGCGGCCTCTTCAGGCCCGGAAGGTGGTGGGACAACTTGACGTGCACAGTGCGGAAGGTTGGACGTCTTGTGTCTTTCAACGAACGCCCGTCTTCGGGTGCCGGGCTCATAGGGCGAAAAGAGGTGCGGATCACCAGGTCTCAGATCGACGCAGGACGTGCCAGGGATAGACCACAAACTGAAGATGAGCACGTATCGGTATCGACTCAAATGGACTCGCTGTGCTGCGGTGGCACTTATTATCCAGGTGTCCTTGTTGTCCTGTCCAGGCTTCCCCACTGGAAGATCCATGCAAGAACCTGATCTGTCTTCTCAAACAAAAAAAAATATCATGAAATATCTAGCACGTTTGCTGCATATGGAGAAATTTGGCTGATATGCTTCCAATCGCCTTGTGACCGTATTTGTCAAAGCATAGATCCTCCATGTCCTGTGAAGACAGAGTGCACAAATTCTTGAAATTCTGGACCAGAGCAGTCTCCAGCGGCGTCCTGCACCCATTCAGCGACCATGCTCTTGGAAAGCATGACCGTGTCATCCACGGTCGTTGCAAGCCGAATCATGACCTCAAGAAGTACCCACATCATCCCACATCAATCTCCCTCTTCGACGATTCAGCAAGCCGAACACGCGTGAGTCCGGAGTCGATTTCTGAACTACTCCCGTCCGCGGTGGACGGCTCTACCTATATAATGCCGGTACCAAAGACCCCCCATTTGCACGCCACTTCCAGTCTAGAGGCCACATAGTCCACGGCGTTCTTGGCCAGCGCGGCGAATTTCCCCTTCAGGTCTCTGCACAAGGCCTTGGAAAAGCCGCACCGGCTGGCGCGGCGTCGCTGGTCGCCGGTAGCCTTGCCTTGCCTAGCTGCCTAGCCTGGCTGCCTTTGCCTTTGCCTCCTCAGGTCGTGCTTTGATGCGCTTTGTATGTTCCGGGCCTTCCGCTGCTTGGCATTGGCAATTCCCAAAAGTCTCAGCAACGCCTCGCTGTGCGCCAAGCATAGCACGTGGTGCTGAGCCAAGGTTGGCGAACATGAATTGTCGAGTCTACACTATCAAGATAGGTAGATAGACTAGGGAGGAATGACCATGGAGTACATCCTGGAAATGGAAGGTGGCCCAAGACTCGAGTATAGACGATTCAAAGGTGTTGTGCAGTGGTGCCTCAGCTCCAGCTTTCGATGAGAGGAGATACGCCGCACCATCCTGACATGCTAAAGTGTCTTTGCGCTTGGTGACCAACGGATTTGTTGGTCGGAAGATAATGCAAACTTAACATGGTTTCGCTGCTCACTGTATCACCAGTTCTTGCACAGCGGCAACAGCCACAATTTGCTGAGATCTGCACCATACATTGCTCTGCAAGCTGGGTGAGTTGTGAGTCTGTAGCGACTTCGCAGAAAGCCTGGATTCATCACTCGCAGAATTTTCACCCCCATTTTCTCTTTGACCGTAAATGCAACAAATTCTCCTGAAGCAGCAAGTGCACGATATCTAGCCCCAAGAGCTCCTCTCGTCCACCGGCGACTCACCACGACTCATCACATCTCCACGCGAGCCGCCGGTCCTTCTCAATGGCCTTTTCAACGGCTTCTTGCAAATGCTGCGCAATGGCCGTTCTTTGTTGTTCTGTCAAGTCCTGACAGGAAACATGAAAAACACGTTCCTGTATCTTGCAGCATTGCACTTTGGTGTGAACAGATTCTCCTAAAATCTAGGACCCTGCAACCCTGCTGTCATAAAGGGTGGGTCCAGGTGGTAAGTTTGTTCTTTGACGTGGCCCTACTAGGGTGTGCACGAGGTACAAGAAGAACCTTGTACATGGAGTTGGCAACATCACTGGCATGACTGGTAGAGCGCAATGGCCACGATCGGAAGGGGAAGTGAATCCAATGGCCACGACAAGCAAAGTGCAAACCCCAAATCGCTCCAATTTGCTCTCGAAGTGCCAATTTAGCTTCGAACATGCACAAATTCTAGAGTTGTGTGATCTTGTGTGTCTGCTTCGCATTGTGTGGGCTACATGACACAGCCTCTGCTTGTAGCACTTCTCGCAGGGTCTTGCTGCTTGGTAGCTCTGGTCGGCGTAAGGCGACTGCCTATGACCAGGTGCCAAAGTGTAGTAGAGAGACAGGGAGAGAGATGGAGACAAGCAGCGGCAAACAGAGAGAGAGAGAGAAAGAAAAAGCAAGTCGTTGAAAGAAAGAAAGCAAAGAAAGAAAAACATATAGAAATACACCGGCATAGGCCCCAGATAGCGGGTGTATAGGTTCGTCACCCCTGGGCATGACATGATGTCATCCCTGGGCATGACGTGATGTCGTCCGTGGCATGACATGATGTCATCCCTTGCATGGCAAGATGCCATCCCTGGCATGACATGATGTCCTGCACCAGCATCAGCATGGCAGCAGCACCCGCAAAACCAAAAGGCCGATCGAGAGTCTCAGAGCCAGCACCTGCACATGCACCAGCATCAGTACGGCAGCAGCAACTGCGAAACCAAAACGCGGATTCAGAGCCAGCACCTGCACCAGCATCAGTATGGCAGCAGCACCCGCAAAACCAAAACGCCGATCCAGAGCGACACCATTGAGAAGTTAGAACCCCTATAGCCTGCAGCTATCTGGGGAAAAAGAAAGAGAGAGAGAGAGAGAAGGGCGCGAGGGAGCAAGGGAGGGAAGAGAATTAGTTTTTAACATGTTTTAACCTCGGAAAAGGTTGGCCTTGACAACAGCAATCTACGAGCCTGAGGTATGGCAACGCTATGCAACAGGCGCCGCTTGTCGCTTGCTTTCACCTCGATGTCTCATTTCGGCAGTATCAAGGCAACAATCCGGTAGTTCAGTCTTGCGTTGGGGCCCAAGGTCGAAACAGTAGTGGAGTAGTATAGACCTGAGGAGCGGAGTATTACAGGTCATCTGCTTCAGCGACACTTCACCTCTGAGACATTAGCCATTGATCACGCGACAGCCATATCTGTGGAAGAAGGTTGCGTGAAGATTCTTTCCTGCGGGTGAAAGAGATGCGCACGTGAGCCTATCTGTACCACTCTTATTCTCTCTTCAACTCTTGCTGACACCACCAAGCATCCTGAAAACTTGTCCAGAATCTCTCGCAAGTTCTTTGACTGGGCCTCCACGGGTTCTCAATCCGAGTCTAACTCAGCCTTTTGAATTTAGGCAGATTACTGCAAACCTACACAATTATTGAACTCACGCCGGCAGAGATTGCACAGAAAGAAAACGCGAATCGGTAAAAGCCCATCGTTTTAAGGCAAAGGTGGAGAGATAGAAGAACACACAAAGGAAGAGAAAATGGTGAGCAAGGGAGTGAGAAAATTCCGTCGGGGCACCTTCTTCTCCTCGTCGGTTGGTTTTCTTTGTGCAGACGTTTTTGAAGAGTACAGCAACAGTTTGAGCACCACCTCAGGCAAAAATCAAAGCTCCTTGCAGTCCTAGCTCCTTTTCACGTGACTTATCTTAGCTCTCTGCCTGGTGCCCATATCTGTCTTGAGCCATCTTTATCAGATCGCTCGAGCACCGGGAAAGCAAGTCTTGCCTCCGCTAAGGCTAAATGGACAAACAGGATTTGCGTAAACAGGAAAAAAGCCAACTTGACTTGCACATCAGGATCATGCATTCCTCACTAGGTGCTTGTCTCTCGTGCCTTTGATTTCGAGTGCCCCATTTTAGACACGCCTTGCAGAGTCAATTGTTTTGCCGCAGTCTCACATCATGACCAATCAACATTGCATTACTCTGGATGCAGTGCCTCTCTTGCTGCTTGGAACTATTCGTAGACTATGTAATTAGATAGTAACAACAAACAACCGTTGCTAATCAATTTAAAAAGCCAACAAAAGCAACAACTTCTGCCGTCCCATTCCTAGTCCTACTCTCCTACTCCTCCTCCTCCTCCTCCTCCTGCTGCTGCGACTGCTTGCGGCTGCTGCACCCCCACAACTATTCCTACTCCTATGACACTGCTACCACTCCCACCAATAGTGAGTGCTGCTGCTGCTGTGGCTCCTGCTGACACCAAAGACACGACACTGACAAGCACGACTGCAAGTACAACTGACTCCACCAACCATCACCACGACCACAATAACTTGTCAAATAACGGAACGACCCGATGACGAACCCCCTCGTCATCGCGAGCAGAACGGCCCAACACACGACGATGACGATGCCTCAATGACGTGAGCCCCAAGGTTGGTGGAGCAGTACTCAGCTAGTGTAGAAGAGCCTTCAGTTCGTGAAAACGAAAGGCTTTACACGACATCAAGGCACGACATGACACACAACGCGGGGTGAGAGGCACTCACCTCGGTTCTGTGGAGCAGACGCTTGCTAAGAGCCTCCAGAATATCCTTGACAAGGACATCTGCTTTGAGAGTCCTTCCAGGATTGATCAGTTCGCCTTAGTGAACATGCTGGGCCAAGCCTAGTTCTGCCAGACTGTGATCAACACCAAGCAGCCGTATAGCTTAGTGATTTCTTTCTTCCTTTGTTGCTTTCCAGAAAGGCTCTTGCCCTGGACCAATCTGCCAAGTCGAGTCCGAGTCAGCTCATCGGAAAGCCCATCCGCCTTCTTCGTGGTTTGCTCTTCCAGCTCTGCCTTTCGCTTTTCTCCCACTCTTCCCTCTTCCTTTCCAGAGCCGACAGGCCATCGGTGTATCGGATCAAGGGGGAGAGCTACAGAGAGCTACAGGAACCCCCTGGAACCCTGCCTTCTTGATCTTGCCAGATCCTTTGCCTGATCCCTTGCTGGGTCTTTTCTCCTTGCCTTTCACAGTCGACCGCCCTGTACCCTTGCCAGCTGCTTTCCCGCCTTTGGCAGTCCTGGATCCACCACACGTGTTCAAGGAAAAAACACATGCCTCCAGGTTTCGGAACTCACTCAGTTCGCTCTGAAAGCTGCCAGGTGACTTCTTTCGACTTTGTTGCTTCGCTTTGCTGGATTTGCCTGCGACATCGGGTGTCGAACCAGCTTTGTCGAACGAGGCTTGGGCCCGACGATCCCGGTCCATCCGACTCAGCAACTGGACGGCCTTTGGCAGCTCCACCCTTTGCCTTTGGCGAAGCAAAGTTGAAAGATGCAAAACATCGATGTGCTGTAGAATAGGGATATAGACCCTAGGGACACCCCGTGGCCCTTTGGCCTTCTAGCCTTTCGGGGGTCTCCACATGTTACAAGTGAGACCTAGAGACCCGCAATTTTGATCGACGCCACAAGCTCCGCCTGCTTTGTTCCGCGTCTTGCCTTTTTGCTTCCACTGGCTTTGGCTTTCTTTGGCTTTTTGGCCATGATCCCAACCGCATGTAAGTGGCTCAAAACATGAAGGATAGGTCAAGGCGCTCAAGGGCTACTTTGTTTACTCTTTAGAACTACGAATGCTTCAAACTTCAAACACTATGTTTTAATGTTGTCTGCACTCTGTCAACTGCTCAGCTCGCTGGCTGTTCTTCGTCTGTCAAAGCTGCGGAAAACGATGGAAAAAGTGCAAGGACTCAAAGGCCAAAAATGTCAATGTGTTGCATGCCTACAACGCAATTTTGGCTCACCTCACGGTTTTACATCCAGTCGGCAATCCGGTGCTTGAAAGGTCATGGAACTTGCACTTTGCCGCATTTTGCGCGGACAAGGAGTTGGCCAGAGAGTTGGAGTTTCAAATCTGTGAAAACCCCAGAACAAATGTGATGCAGATTTGGGTACCCTGTCTACTAGTTTGACACAAAAGCACAGGACCTCTCAGGATGCAAATCTGCACGAAAATTCCGGAAATTGCCTACAGCGGCCTTTTGGGTGGCCTGGCAGTGGCCCTGTTTCACAAGCCGCTGTCTTGGAAACATGACACATTACATTGCACCAGTGTTTGCTTGATGGTCTGTCGCAAGATGTTGCAAGTAAATCGAAGATAATCTGCATGACTCATCTATGTATCGGACTTGTCCATGGTCTTGCGTGCTGTTGGAAGAGACGGTTGAAATACGGGCAAATGCCACCGACATGTTGACTCAGTAGACCTTCAGACCCTGAGCCGCCATCTCCTCGTGTTTTGCGTACGACAAGATGGCAAACCTTTCGTCGAACTCTGGCATCTGATCATCTGCTATCTGCTACGCTGGTTGCTTGAAGCAAACTTAGCCTTGGGAGAGTCTGTCAGAGAGTCGAAAAAACAAAAACACACACATGTTTTGCTATCCTTTGCCTTTACAGGTGTCACCTAGCCAAGGCAACGCCAAACGGCAATGCACGGCGCATCAGCGTATATAGACAAAATGATGTCATTATTATCTCTAGGACCACACTGGACTTTGCTTTTTTTCAGCAGAAGCAGAATAGGGCTGTTGGAACTTGAGCAAGAAAACATGTAGAACTCGCTTAGCTTCCCGAATGTCTTTCGCTTAGCCTGTGCCACGAACCCCCAGTTCTAGAGGATTTGAGGCAACAATTAATACAGGTGCGTGAAAACAACACAGTGCGCGTCAAAGCAAAAGGTCGGCACATGTCACGAACCTCAACCTGTTCAACCAGGATGTTGCTTCCCAATGGTCAACGGTGTTGTGGGCATGTGGCATGTCTCGCAAACATACTATTATCTGGACTGGCAAAGTGCGGCCAGCTAGGTGTCGCGCAACACTCATGTATACAGCAACGGGAAAGTCCTCTGCTTTCTTCTTTCGTGCCCGATTCATCTGAGGAGCATGGTGAGTCAGAATCTGTAGAAAAGTGAAGGCACTTTCGGTTGAGCCCATGTGCGAGTGGAGCGAAAAGCAAGCCACAGCTGCCGCGCCTTCACTTGCTCCATGCCTTGCTCCCCGTAGACATCAGAAGCCATGCCATATTTCTCTTGAAACCTCACAACGCCATGTGGAATCTGCGCCACCATTTGCGCACATATATGCAACGTTTCAGTGACGCAGTGAATTACGGCCCAGCTCTCACTTGCTCCGGTCTTCCTTTCATGAGACTGTTCATTCAAATGCGGTATGTTGAGAGGCATAAGTGCCACGCTTCGTCAAGGCTGAGTTGTCAAGGAGGACCTGACGGGAGTGTCGAGAGGGTCGGGTCCCAAATGAGAATCATGTCGTATTTGAGAATCATGTCGTGGGATGCTTCTTCTGTGGGATACACCTTGCCCTTCTTTCCTTGCCACGCAGGATGCACTCCGTTCCAAATGTCGACCTTCCAAATCTCAAAGTGAAGAAAAAATGAGCGACACACATACTTCATCACATTTCGCGTGTGTCCTCCGAGTCATCACATGGATTTATCAAACCTTGTACTCCTGCATGGTGCCGTTCACCGAGGCCACCTGTTTTCTCAGCTTGGATGCTCAGAACACAACTGCAAAAGTTCCGTTCTCCGCCTGGTCTCCGTTGTAGTAAACGGGACCTGAGCGTTAAAAAAATGCCCGGCGCCCTCTCCTTCGTTTGAAGCAACTGGTCTGTGATGTCTGCATATTTCTGCAACAAGATGCCTTTCCACAGTTCCACCTGTTTTGAATCGTTCGTTCCAGCAATCTCTGGGACTTCTTCTCATGCTAAGCACATGACTAGCTTTGTGAATCGTAGGGAGTTCACGTCTTTTCTCCTCCTGGCCTACTGCAAAAGAGCATGCTCTCGATTCCAAAGACGTGTCGCATAGACAGGACCTTCGTCTCGTGCGAGCTCGCGCGGAAGTGTCGCGCGACCAAGCCTTTGTTTGCCTTCTTCTTCGCAGCGCGCTCTTTCGCTTGAGCGGCTGCAGCCCTCAGTCCGAAAGGTCTTGTGCAGCGTCACACTTGAGCAATCTCTCTGCGGTCCAACTGAAGGCCCAGACTGGAAGTCAATCTTCTTCAGCACATTGCCAGCATTCCAATCACGGCCTGGGCCAGGTCATTCCACAAAACAATGTGTGCCTTACACGGCAAAAATGTTTTGTTGATTCAAACTGTTCCTGCTGCTTCACCACCGGTGTCTGAAAACACCATTGCGCTGTGTTCTGTCTCGCACCCGACTCCGGCGATGCGCGGCGCGCCGGAGACGGCGCGCCGTTCGCGGAGCTGCGCGGAAGCGCCTGAATAGCAAGTGACCAGGCTCTGGCGTTGCGAAAGTCTGAGTCCCGCAAAGGCAAAGGCCAAAGCACCTGCCATCACCCCAGGGGTGGATACACTGGCGAATACACACCTACCAATTATATTACATATATATACATATACACAGAGGTTTCAAGGGACGTGAAGGGAGAGTTGATCACTTGCCAAGAGAATCTCTCGAATCTGTGTGCGACAGCTTCATGGGCGACAGCTTCGCAGGTCACCTGCGACTGTATTGCTAGCTGTCCAAAGGGCTGCCACCAGCAGAGCAGCCAGCAGGCCCTGGTGAAAAAGTTCTACAATACAGTCTTCTTCATCACTGAAATGTCTCAAAGAAGAATGTCCTTGGCCAGTGAGCTATGCTCTCGTCGAGCCATGGCCTTTGCAGTCTCAAGGGTTCTGATGGTTTCAAGATGTTTCAATAGCCTGAGGCATCTCACATCGTTTCTTCAATCCTAGGCTTCCGTTTGGATGGTATAGAAGCGCCTTGTGGCAGTGCAGAGGGACTCGACTGCCACTGAACCAAAGCAGCTGTCACAAGGCCAAGGACCTTCAAAACGTTATTACCTTTGTTACCTTGGCAAGAACAAGAGTCTGAATAAGTATGAATAAGTGCTCCAAAGAAACTGCAGTATTGTCTCAAGGGGATCTTTTTCATGCTGCAAGCTTTGCGCAGGGAACCACTTGATCTGCAAGAGATCTGCAAAATTTCGCAGAGTTCGCATGATTCGCGTGTGGAGCGATTGCGGAAAATGCAGCCTCTTGGACTGTCTTATTTGGGACTTTTAAGTGACATCCAGATAGCTACGCCAGCTACGCGGACAGCAAGAGCTGTCAGCTCAACCAGTAAGGCCAAGAAGATTCTTGAAAACTGCCTCGAGTTGGCGAAACTGGCACTTAATCGCAAGTAGGTTGGAGGCCATCGCTACGAACGTAACAAGAAGCTGCTAGTTACTAGTTACTAGTAACAATGAAATACCATATCCGATTCCTTTCGATTCGCCGGAGAGGGAAAACACTGAGAACCCAGGCGGTGCCAATCTCGACTCCCAGCTTTGCCTTGATATTGGCCTTCGGTTCTTCCCACCTGGGACGGAGCAGGTATCGCTGGCGATCAAACAGAAAAAATCAATGGTTGGCTGCCGGCTGCTGGGTTTCTGCAGCAGTTCATGGCACAACATCTTTCTCTTAAAAAGAAATCTAAATCAATCAAAGCGAAATTGTCATCCATGATCTTCCATGGAGTCTCAATTCAACGCCGAAGCAAAGCCACCAGCCGCCCTTCTGCATCTGCTCACAGGCTGCTAGCAAGCGTTCAAGCAATCTGGCAAACTCCGAGGTGGCAAGTGCCCAATAATGTGCCAACTCATCCAAGTGCTTTGCAAGAATTGCCATGCGTGCCTATCATAGTCTTCCTTCTTCCATTCAAGGGAGAAAAGAAGTCTGCCAGTGCCTAGAATTTGACGACCCATCAGATCCAAGATTCAAAACGTCAGGGAAACATGGGGAAAGTGCCGCTTCTGGTCTCTTGCCACAGAATTACTGAGGAGCTGGCCAACCCAACTAAGGCTGACACCGGCATCCTGGACAGCCCAGAACATCTTTGGGTCTATTGAACTTGCCGATCATCCGCCTTCAAAAAGTACTGGAAAAGCCAGTGATATCGGCCTAGGCAACGAGGGACCATTATGGACCGAACTCTTTCTATATTCCCTATTTCCAGCATCCCGGTTTGGCCTGCTTCCTCGCATCTGCCCTAAAAACTGCTAACACCCGGTGCGGCGACGCAAACACCCGGTGGTGTCGCTCACTCCGATGAGCGGTGGCATCTTCTGGGACTCCCGGCCGGGCTTGGTGTACAAAATCGACCACACTGAAAACCTGTTAGCGTCACGTCCCGTCGATGTTCCGTCGAACGGATGACGGCCGACCGAATGGTCGGCTTTGGTGGAAGAGCTCTATCTTGAGCCACTGGCCAATTTGTCAACTGAATCGGAAAACCTCTCTCCTGCCACAGGAATTCTCATGTCTGAACTAGGCATTTGCGGAGTGACGTGGACACTCTCCTGGAATTTCGCGTTTGCTGTCTTTATGAAGCTGTCGATGTTGCCGTGCCTCAGAAGCTGTACCACCGAAACCCACCATGGTGTGTTCTTGGCTTCGAATGGGTCTCCAGCATGACATCGTAGGACTTCGTGGTTTCAGGTGTCTCCAACCTGGGCATGGCGGGCCCGCATCTGCGTGAAGGAACAGTGGCAGGGATCTGTGGAATCTGCGTGAAGGAGCATGAAGGCACTCGTTTTGTTCCTTTTTCAATTGACACTTGGCAGTCCATCGAGATCAAGTAGCCACTTCAAGAAGGCATTCATGCTGGCCATGACGAAGGGATGACCGGCAAAGGTGCCAATGACCTCCGGCATCAGCAAACAGCTGGCAATACAAAACATCTGCAACATCGTCCTAAAACCGATCTTTCGGATGAAATACGGTCATTCACTATGGTCACATCGGCAGAGCTCAGCTTCGCGCGTAGTTGACCCGGGCAGCCTTTCGGGCATCGCCTCGAGCCATCAAATCCGTTGGCCCACAGACCACACCTGCGGAGCGGAGGGAGCGGCATACTTGGGGAGGCGTCTCCTGTTTCGGAGGGTTCGGAAGAGGGAGCGTGAGGGAAAAATGGGGAGCTCCAGGCTCCAGGTATTGGTTTATCTTTATCTCTCTATATAAATGTACAGTATATATTTGTGTTTTAATATTTATTATATATATTTAATGCATATATTTTTATGGTAGGTAGGCTTCTTCAGTGTGAGTTGAGCCTGCACAATCCATTTCAATGATTTATGACGTGCTCATTCTGGTCAAGAATCGGCAGCCAATCAACTGCGGCCCTTGCCGATCGGTAGGCCGCCACCCAGCGTCTTGCCGTAGCAAACAATGTCAGCCTGAAGCAAACGCCGCATAGCTCTTGGCTCTTTTCACGTGTCATTGAGAAGTGACCACGTCAGCACCTTCACGTCATAAGCACCTTGAGCTCCTCTTGGATGCAACCGGAATCCTGTGTAAACCTCGGCGTTGAGAGATCAGTTTACTCCCATAAAACATTCAAAAACCCTTGAAACCGCTGAAAGAGCAAATTCCACATTGTAGCCTTACTGTGCAGCGCACCTCATCGAAGATCAGGGGAATTCCTCCTTGCTTGCAGGTGTCTCGCCTCAGGTCAAGAGCGAGGCATAGCGAGGTGAGTGTTGCATGGATATGATTGGAGATCTGCATATCGGTTTTAAGCTTCGCAAGACACACATATCGATGTCCACTCTTCAGCCAGTCGTGAGAGTTCCTTCAACTCACCAAGTCTCCAACAGTCGATGCAACCATTCCTTGTAGCCTGGGCTTGGGCCCACCTCACATCACATCACATCAATCTCCACCTGAAACGAGTTCTTTCAGGTCCCCAAAAAGAGACCTTCTGCGCCTTGCGGTTGTTGGAGGAGAGCACCGGATCACTTGGTGGTGACCTGAAAAAGCGATCTGTGAACGGGGCGTCGGGTGAGCTCCGGTGAGCTCCGGCGAAAGCTTCGCGTCAGAAGAGGCTCCAACTGGTTGAGGTGAAAGCACTGCAACGGATTGACCAGCACAGCCGCAATTTCGCTGCTTCTAGCCTGGGGTGAGAAACTTTCAACCTGAAATCTTAGGTTGGATCAACCTGCCTCAATGACTTTCAGAGAGAGATTGCTCATGTCCTCTGCAGAAGTGGTCACCCCACTTCAAATAATCCAATTTAAATACCACGCAATATCTTTCTTCAATTATATACCTCAACAGGACCAGGTCCTTCAAGCAAAGCACATCGCTTGGCAAGCGCTCGTTGCCTGCCACCGGCTGCATGCCATCCCACCAACCTGGCGCACAGAAAGCACCAAGACATGGCTCCATGCAGGCCATCAAACCAGGAGGCTCCACCGTGGTACCTCGTCCGTCCCCAACTTTCCGTCGCAGCGAAAAAATACACGGTGATCACATGTGATAACTGTGTGTTCCACACAACAAAAGATCCCAGAAAGCCAGTCTCGTGCAGCTGGGTGGATGCGTTTCAATTGCAGCAGGGTCACGCGCCGCCGAAGGTCACCACTAAAGGCCTCCGCGTGTTGAAGCGCGCCACCCGCACCGCCTCGGGCCCCGGCCGACCGGGGTCTTCCGACCGTGCCCGGAGACAGATCCCTCCCGACCGAGGGCCGGGCGCACATCACGGCCTCGGTGCCTGACATGTGGAAGGACACCTGGGAATCGCTCCAGAGCTGCTTGGCGTCCAGCGAGTTGCTTCATGAACACTCCATGACTGGCTGTTCTTCAGCTCCAGAACTGCTCCAAAAATGCGTTTTCGGCATGAAGCAAACAGTCTGTATAGATTCAGTATAGATGTTCTTATTTTGCCTACACCGACATAAACCATTCGGTTCATCTTCAAGATTGGGCCGCCTCAGGCTGGCCGGAGATCTTTCGCAGACGGGCAATGTTGTCCAAGACCTCAAAAGGCAAAATCGTGGTTTTCTCCACCTGAGAGGCTTCAGCTGCACCAAGAGCTCAACTGTCTTGTCCAAGGAACCCAAGAATAGCCTCACAGTGGGATGTGCATCGGGATCATGCAGATCAATAAAGTAAAGACGCGTGTTTTTAGTAATGAAGACAACAAGTCAGCAAATCTTACGCAATCATAGCTTCCAATGTAACTGACAGGTTCACCTTGCTTTTTGCACGTACACTTGTCTGATATCATCTCCTTGCTGGTGACTAGGTGTGGCAGGGACATGCCCATCAAGACTTCGAGCTGGGGTGTCCAACCCCTGTTTCTTGGCGGTCTTCCAACCTTCTTCAATGAACTCTTTGTACCTCGAGTGAAGTTGCTGTGAAGCTTCTAATCGTGTAAGGCTCTCCACTAGACCATGTTAAGAAACGCCAGGACTGACATTGGCACTTCTCATAGCCACAGACGTTGACACCATACGAGCCGGAGATGTCCTGCGACGTACACAGTTGTCGACCGCATGCCTTTCAAGCTCCCCGAAAGGTCCCAGATTACCAGGGTCCATGGCACTGTTCTCATCGATATCCACCACGTCGACACCTTCTGTGCCTTGGCGCAGTTACGAAGTCGTTGCATGAATTGTGAGGTCCGGCCTGGTTGGCAACACATAAACACATGAACTCTGATCCCTTCAGACTCTGGACTCGCTCGCATCCTTTTTGGGCTCGCTTGGGAGGCTCGACCGCTGGCTCGTCGAGCACAATCCAGCTCTCTAAATTTCGGAGCTGTGGGTCATGCGGCTGAGCCGCTGGCTCGTTGGCCTGACAGCCTCGTGTCTCATCCCTTGGGGAAGTGGAACTCTCAGAGCTGACAGCCTCGCCTGCACAAACGTAACAAATGTCGTTGAAACTGACAGGACTCATTTGGGCTACAATCCATATAGGGAATTTAGGCTACCTGGCACGTCCGACGGCTGTTTAAAGTGCCCAAGAAACATAGTAAATCTTCCCATTCAACTTCAACTTGCTCTCTTTCTCTCTTTTTCTCTCTCTCTCTCTCTCTCTCTCTTTCTCTCTTTCTCTCTCTGGCTTTTTCGATCCCTGTCTCTCTGTCTGCGAAGGGTTGCTCGGTGGCCTCCACCTCTTCCTGGCTGTGCAGAGCGTCTCCGCTCGGCTCTTCGAGCTTCCAGCAACTCGTCCTTTTCTGCGAGAGAAAGTGGAAGACAAAGCCCAAAAATGTGTCTCTTGGTCAACATCAACATCATAAACAACAAAAACTATGATGTGTGTATAATGTACTATATATATATATTATAGAATTATATATATATTTGTATATATAGATATATATATATATAGATGTTTACAAAAGTCTGGCTAAGTTGATTGGAGATATCTGCGTATGTCTACTTATATACTTACTAGCTTTCTGCTGAGTGCTTTTGTTCATGCTGTGTGCATCTTTATGCGCCATTTCCGTTCACTTTCGGACACATGCGGGACTCCACTCAGGGAGTGCGTGATGAGTGCTTGATGGGTGAACCTGAAAAACAGTTCCTAGAGTCCTAGAGTGCATGACCTACCTAACATTGAACCTGACAGAACCTTGAGCATGACCTTCGCAAACATGGTGGTCAGTGGTAGTCTATCCTCTCCGATCAAAAGCTCAAAAGCACCATAGGCTAAGCATGTGAGCGCCACCATGAGGGAGGTCAAGCATGTTCCAAACGATTGACTCCGGTCGGAGAATCTTTCATTGGACTAAAGCTATGATCCTGGCTTGAATGGATTTCGACAAGGCTTTCCCTAGCCCCCAGCCCTCTACCATGATCAGCGGGTTTTCAGCCCTTTGACCAAAAGGCCCTCACCAAAGCACCTGGTCCAAAGGGCCCCACTCAAACCAAGCTATAGCTTTGTCATGCTTAACCGCTCTCTCTTTGTGGCTGAAATACCACCGACATCACCCCTTTGACAACCATGCCTGCACAGTGATGGCTGCCAAATGCTGGGCTCTCAACTGAATGAGGATGTCTAAAGAGAAGCCCTGAAGCCAGGAGCCATAGACGAAGTCGGACATGAAATCGCATCCCTTCTCTGCACTCCTCTCCCATTGGGCCATTCGAGCTGTGAACTCTTCCGGGGGCGATCGAAGCATGTCATAGATCTCCACCAGGCTTTGCGCGCCCAAAAGGGAGGACTCCATACAGCGCAGCAACCCCAAAGCACAGCGGAACAGCACCTCAGTCAGAGCGTGAGTGGAGTGGGGCTCCAAGCTGCCGGAAACAGACTAGTGGCCGGCTGAGTGACTGTATATATGCCATGCAAAGTAGTAGTGGGTGGATTCCCGAAAAAGGACTTCCCATCACAATTCGTGAACCCTTCACTTCTTACTTCTAATTAATCAAGCGAGGTCCCGCTCCTTTGGTTTTGAGGCCCAAAACAAAAACCACGTCCTTCAAGAACCTCCGCGAAAAAGCACGCGAACCCCGACCTCGCCATTAACGAATCCAAACGCTCCGGTCCAAAAAAACGAAGAACGAGACGAACAAGACGAACGAGACGAACGAGACGAACCGGTACCTCGTGCCGGCCGATACGAGGTCCGTGCGAAGGATTGAGCCGAGATGGCGCCTTGGAGCCTTCATGGAGAATGCAGTCGAGGATTCGGTCGCGGAGCCGGTCCGGCAAGGTGTTGATGTAGAGGCAGAGGAACCAATTCATGGAGACTGGAGACAGATCAACATCGTACTCAGCAAAGTGATTGTGAAGATGTGGCAAATACTTCATCACCAAGGAATTCAAAACGAGCATATCGACACGGATCCCAATCATGCTTCTGGTGTAGTAGCCATCAGGCAGTATGTCCTCAATCAAACTGCAAAGGATCCAGAAAGCGCTTTCCTCGTCACAGTAGCGCAGCAAAGCGGCTGCTATGAAGTTCATTGACTGGCAATATCCCAGTATTGGATTTTTGGCCGCAAAAGCCAACAGCACATGTCTCAATGGTTCCAACAAGGCCTCAGGACAGCCTGTTCGTGGAACATCCACTTCGATCACTGCAGATGCCTCGTTCTTCAGCTTCAAGCCCTCGCTTACAAAGAGGGGATACAAGGTCTCCAGGGCCTCCACGGCCTCCGGCGACCCTGATTCGCGCGTCGCAGCCTTCAACGCTGCCTCTTTCTGCTTCGTCGTGGCACCGGTGCACACCGTCCAGACCAGGCAGCGGAACTGCTCCGGAACCCCTGAACGCACCGCTTGGCTGATCCGGTCCCAGTCGCGCCGGGGGGAGTCGGTGTGGATGGCCAGCTTCGACCAAAAGGTGTTCCGTTCCCCTGCCAAGGAGCGCTTCCATCGCTCCCACGCCACCGACAGGTGTTCGTCGCCGATGTGGCTGGCGACGCTCTCCCAGAGGTCCTGCCTTTTGGCCTCCGCGTCAGGCTCGCGAGGTGTCAGTTCCACAAAGGCTGGACTTGGATCCCTTGCTGACAGAGTTCTGGACCTTCGAATCTCGAGAGTCTCAGTGACCCTTGACCATGTAGCTGACAGATTGGACAAGCCAGAGGACACCCTTTGGCGCAAGCGATCCCTTTTGCGAGATCTTCGAACCGGCGGATCGACACCGTCATGAGGTTCATCCGTCATGGGTGAATGCAGCTTGATGTACATGTACTGCCGTGGTTCTGCAGTGCAAAAAACATGGCGGAAAAGGAACACATCGGTGCTGTGGCTATGATCAGATTTGGTGCTCACATGCAGATCTGGTGGGTAATTGAAGGTTTTGGAAAAAAAGAAAGCACACTCTGAGTGGTGCAAGTACACAATTCCATGTTGTTCAGTAAATGTGTGCATTGATTGCTGGCAACACCCTGAGCCAATTTTGGGCTGAGAGCCCCTTCGGAGGAAGCCTTTGCAAGGTGGGAAACCACATGAAATCCAAAGACACCAAAGGTGACCAACGCTTAGCTTGTGGCGATCAAGCGCCATGGATGGATCCAAGTATTTCTGCACCACCCCGTTGAAGGCTGGAAAACAGCGCCTGACGAGTGCACAACTTTGCAGAGTCTTAGCACATCCATGTCGTTTGCACTTCAGGGATGGATGTGCCAAGGTCTTCAAAAAGAAAAGACAAGAAAGAAAACAAACAAGACGAGGCACGCGGAAGTGAAGCGCAAGTCTGAGATCATCTTCTTCAGCTCCTGCACAAAAAGAACAAGAAGATCAAGGAACGTGACAACATCGGCTACTGTTTGTTTGAGTGAGTAAGTGACGTGTCTAAGCAACCGTTCATTCACACATCCCAACGTTGCTGAGCTACAGTAGACGATGCACTGGTGCTGAGCTACGTATTCATGCAGAACCCAGCTCCAGCGAGAACTCTTGGCCTTGGTAATGACACGGTCGAGACGATGGATGGGAATCAAGCTGAAGGTGCAAGTGTTCGTTGTTTTCCCATACAGTTGAATGGTGAAGTAAATGTTTTCGTTGTCCTTTTCGTTCAAATCTGTATCTTTTCTGTGTCTTTTCTTTCACAATGCTTCGGAATGTCGACTGATGACTGATGAAGTTCATGTCAAGACTCACTTCGGATACTTCTTCTTCCATTTCTCGCTGAGCTCTTGAAGTGAAGCCTTGCAGCCCAGGCATCAAAAAGCATCTTCAGTCTTCAGTGATTACTTCACTGTGACTCAAAGAATCGGGCATATGGTACCATCCCAAACCCCCGATTTTTCGGGCGGCAACTGTCGAGCCAAACGCTGTTTCAGCCCGGCCTTTCGGCGGGCCGCCACTTCATCCGAGCAGCCGTCACAGGAGAAGAACTGCGCCTCCATGGGAAATCAAACCATTGACCATTGATGAATAAAAATGGAGGTTACCCATGACTGGAGATGTAAACCCATCCTGATAGGGGAGGGTTGTGCATCAACAGTCTAAGTCATTAAGTTTGGACATGTTTGGACTGTGCCAGTCTGGAGTCAGTGAAGTGACTCATCCGACTGACGCTGCCTCCTCTATCGTGTACTTGGGCAGAATCTTCGAAGCAAATCTGCACAGGATGGGCTTGCCAGTTCCCAAATGCCATTGTGTGTTGTCTGCATGTTATAGATCTTGAGTGTTCCCCTTTGCGTAAAAAAGAGCTTGTGTCAAAACAAGTGTCTCATCTCGTTTCGCATGGATGTGCCTGAAGGTGAGCGCCAAGGGATATGTTGCAGCCAAGGTGATCAGTCGCTTGTAGAGGAATGGAATCGCACGGAGCTGAGAGAGGACGGAGCCGTTGGGTCTTCGGCTACAGAAGGACCGTTGAAACTCACATGTCACATGTCCTTTTCACCCGCATGTCCTACTTAGGAGCCAAAGTTGAGTTGCCGTTTCCTTTATGTTTTTCTGGGCAAGAGAATCTGTGGCGTACTCCGAAAACTGTGGCAATGGTGGCGATGGCATCATCAGAGGTGAAGCCTCAGTGGAGAGTGAAGAGATGGTTCCGAACAGGAAGCCGCTTGAAGTCACCGAGGAGACAGCCCAGTCCGGACGTCATCACCCAGTACGAGAGCCTGAAAAGCGCCGTTCAATCTTCTTGTGTGCAAACGAGCTACGGCCAAGCCCTTGTACTGGATGGTTGTAATAATTCCGTTTAAACCATCCATGTGGGGGTTGGGGTTCGGAGCTCAACTGTATACAAAGAGCAATTGTTTCAACTTCTAACTTCTGCTGAGAATATCACCCGCCCGTCATTAACCAGCAGTAGGCCAACTGACCTCAACGTACACACAGAACCACAGGCAGTTTCGGTTGAGAATCTTCCCCAAGGCTGGGGCCAACTTGTCCAAAGGTCATGAGGAAGAACAAGGCGACCAAAAATCTGCCACAAAGCTGAAATCTCAAACCTCGCCCTTACCCTGTGAATTGGTCGCCCGAACAAAACTGCAAGTCGCGTCGTAGCAGTCCAGTGAAAACTGAGTCTCAGTCTTGAGGAAGAACGTGGTGTACTCCTCCATGCCGAACCTACTCATGACCTCAACCTGACAGCTCCAAGGCACATGAACATATCATGAACTCGCAGTCTCGCGAGAAGCTCGACTGAAGCTTCGAATTGAACCCAAGACCCATGTGCCTGCTATAAGGGCTGAGGCCCCTGGTTGTCTCTCTCTCTTGTCTCTTTGGGCCAAACGGTGGCTAGGCTAGACAAAAACAAAAGCATACAAAGGTAACGGTTAACTTGACAAACAGCACGGGGCGCCGTAACCCAGCGCAGTGTTTCGGATCTAGCTCAGGTTTAGGTTCCACAGCTGTGAGCAGCTGAGCAGCATGAAAAACTTGCTGTGTCCAGTATAACAAGCATGATGTGCAAGGCTCCACGATGTTTGGAGCGGCTCACTTTGGTGCTTCAGCACAGCTGTTGAAAATTACTGCATGCTAGAGCGCTTGTCCTCACCTGTGGTGCATCCCTGACCATCTGCGGAAAACATAAAAGCTTTGAGAGGCGCAGATGGATTAAAATACTTTGCACCGACGTAGCTGAGAGCTCGCGAATTCAGCATCTTCACATCAGAAAACATCCTACGCTCGTCGCTTGCGAAGCACAAACAATGAAGGTGTGTTCATCACCCGGAGTCCAGGATCAACAAAGCGTTGGGTCCAGACTCCAGCACCTGCAGCACAGCTGTAGGATTGACGAAACGCCCTTTTCAAAGACAGCTGAACGAGGGTAAGCCCTCAGAAAAGCCCAGCATTGACTTGAATGATCCGCCACATGGATTTGAGGTTCCACCTACCCCTGTCCTTCGTTTTCGGCCCGAAGTTCGCCTTTGGTCGCCTTTCGGAAGATCTCAAGCCCGAAGATGGAGAACACGGTCTCCTTGAATTTCACCCTGAGCAGCCCAGGGTAGAAGAGGGTCACGAATTCTTGTGGTTTTTTCCTGAAATCCAGTGCTCACGGCGTGATCATCCGGATGGCATAAACAACTGTAAGGTACAGGTTTACCTGGGGTGTGGCTATTTTTTGCCAAAACCATGGGTTTTTGATAGGTCACGACGGCGAACTTCCAAAAACACTGTTTTTTACAGCACGGAATGGACTAGTTCGTGCACGTGCCCGCCCGGAACCGGCAAGAGAAAAGTTAAAACACAGTGTGTTTTTTGACTTTTGGCCTTCGATTTTCGGATTGAGACGCATATTTTTTCCATGTGTCTTGTCGGGAGGCCGGGAGGCCAGATTTTGTGACTTCGGAGCTGTTTGGGTGACGGCTTTCGCCGTTTTTGTTGGGCAGAAACATTGGCTTTTGCAGTGTTTTTGTACATTGCCGAGGCTTGAGTTCTTTGTGCGAAAGTGTAAAAAACCCCGCAAGTAGCAGCAGTGTTTTTGGCAACCATGTTGTTGAAAACGTCGCAAATTGAGGTGTTTTTTGACAGCAGGTTCAAAAGCACTGTAAATAGCGGTGTTTTGGGCCACGGCAAGCTCAAAAACATTGCTATTTGCAGTGGTTGAAAAATACGGTACTTAGTGGCGTTTTCGGCAACGTCAACCTCAAAAACCTCGCTATTCGCCGTTTTTGTTGGGCAACTGTTTCATGGCGGCGGGCGGACCTTGTCGCGGAGCGGCGTGAATCTAGTTTATATAGTTATGTTTAGAGACTTGTGGACTTGTGCCCAGTACCTATCAAGTTGACGCTACATCAACGAAGAAACACCGCGCCTAATCTGCTTGTCATCCACGATTTCTCTCTCGGCCTCCCAAGCTGGCACCAGTTGTTCAATCACTCAACTAACCGTTCTTAGTCGTCTTAGTCAGCCTGGAGGGCCACTCGGAATGGGCCAAAGTCAACAGCATTGACGAAGCGTTTCTCATCCACAAACGTTTGCCTCAGATGTCTCGCAAACAACTGTGCAAAGGCCGCGAGAAGTCTCAGCGCACATAGTAAGCCAAGGCGGCCAAGCTACGTGACATCACCCACCAAAGGACCAATTTTGCCGTTGGAGCCGCCCTCTGCGGTGCCTAGTGTAGGTGTCAGCTGCCGCAAAGTTGCATCTCTGTGCAGGCCAAATGCTGTCTAAGATGCAGTACAGCAAGTCCTCAAAGCAGATCGGTTCAAATCTGGCCCTTTGAGCTGCTTTTCAAACCAGAGCTCTGAACTCTCATGTAATTGGGTCCCTACTAAAGCAATGGTCTTGTCCGTGGGAGTAACTCTGCAACTTGTGGCGTCTTCCTTTCGCCATGTTTCCCAGACTCCGCTGAGCTTGGTCTTGGCCGGTTGCCCTGGACAAAGAGCCTCCAAATCTACGGCAGCAGATTCCACCTGTGAGGGGGTCCAGCAATGCAAGGCGGTCCAGCAATATGACGCTTGTCATCCTTACTTCTTTTCTAAAACGAAGTAGACATGTCTTTCCTTCAGTTCAAAACAGCTGGGATAGCAAGCAGCTCCTATTCTTCCTCACACGGGGTGTGGACAAACGTGACAACTGAGAGGATCAATTGCAAGTGTGTCAACATGTCGCTGAAATTGATCATTCATCACTTCACTGGTGACCTCGTCAGTTAAAAAGACTGCACAGATTACCCATCACCACTCTAGTGTTATTTCTGCTGCCAAATCCGGTTCCCCATCCAAAAGCATCGTGCCTTTTGCTGAAGAAGTTCGCTGGCGCCAACACCATTCTTTGGGGCCTGGTGGCATGTTCATTTCGATTGATTCCTACATGGAAAGCATATGAAAACATCACGACTTGTTCACTCCGCACACCTCATCACAGGCAGCCACCAAAGCCTCACAGATTTCAGGGGGCCACAAGAGGTGTGCGACGGCAAGACCAAGTTTCAAGACGTTTGGCAGAATCGGTCGATCGGAGCAGTCGGAGCAGTTCGTGCCTTCTTGCGCTGCACAGTCTGCTGCTGGTCAGATTGACCAAAGGAGGCAAGCCACTGTAGAGGCGGGAAAGGGCCTGCAGTCAAGCCATGTGCAAACTCCAAGTGGATGATTAAAAAAGTAAGCCCAAGAGAAGTACCCAAGAGCTCAAGGCCAATTTCACACCTCCTCCGGAACCGACTCCGGAACCTGCCCCGGACCTTGCTCCGGAGCCTTTTTTCGGATATTCTCCAAAAGCTCCTCCAGAACCTGCTCCGGAATCTGCTCCAGAACCTCCTCCAGAACCTCCTCCGGAACCTGCTCCGGAACCTCCTCCGGAACCTGCTCCGGAACCTCCTCCGGAACCTACTCCGGAACCTACTCCGGAACCTACTCCGGAACCTCCTCCGGAACCTACTCCGGAACCTCCTCCGGAGCCTGCTCCGGAATCTGCTCCAGAACCTCCTCCGCAACCTGCTCCGGAACCTGCTCTGGAACGGAACCCACTCCGGAGCCTGCTCCGAATCTGCTCCGAAGCCTTTACTATGGCTGAAGACCCCTAGCTTCGCTGTTGGGGAAAAACAAATATATATATATATATTCCAAACGTCTGTACACTATTTTCTCCACGTTCCCTGACGTTCATAGGAAATCAACATGTCTATAATTGTTTATATGGGCATGATTTCCCGGGTTTCACACCTACGTTCGAGAATCTCTCACTATGTTGATTACCTTGTAGAAGGTATTGCAAGGACTACAAGCCATGCTGGTCTTCAACCTGGACAAGCAGATGAAAAGTCTGAAAATAAGCAGTTGCCCCATAAGGCAGCATTTCTCAGCCAGCAATGAGCGATATATATGCGATATATGTGGAGAAGGCAATATAGAACAAGCTTCCAACAGCTGAGATACAGTATGATTTGATCGAGCTCAAACTGTTTAACAGCCACCCTATTAGCCTGTTAACGTGTTGTTCCTTGTTTATAATTACCGCACGAGCCGGAGTACAAAGAGCAAAGCTCTGTAGGAATGGTTTCCTGGATTGCTCTCCAGCCATGCTCTCCGACATTCCCATCTCCAGTCTGCCCCAGCAACGGGTCAAGAACTTCAAGAATAAAAACAGGCCAGTCGGGGGTGCTCAAACTCTTCCCACAGCATAAACCAGCTTCCTTGGGTGAAAAAGCCCTCTGATAAAACCTTCTGAGCTTGTCAAAGAGCTAACGCTTGGAACATATTGGAACCGATGTAGCTCGTGTTGCACCCTGGAAGAGACCCACATGGAACCTGAAAGCCACCTGTTTGTGGAGGAAGCTAGTCTTCCAAAGGTCCATGTTCAGGTTCTTTCTCAGTTGGAGAACATTGGGCCGAGGCTCTCATCGTGTTTTGCCGCTCTGCTAACAGACTTGCAAGACGACCATCCTTGTCAAGGGTCGCCACTCCTCCTGCAGAGTCTTTGGATTAGAGGCTCTGCGGAAATTGGACAACTCCCTTTTCAGCGGATGGACAAAGACTTCCCAAAACACCGTAACCATGGGACACGGGCTTTTGCCCCCTTGCCAAGCGCCTTTACCAAGGGGTTTTGACCAGTGCCACCAGCTCTCCTAGGCCACCATCGTTGCAGCCCCCTAGCAAGGTGGTTGAGCCCAGCCAAGTGGAAGGCATCGAAGTGCGTCCAGTGCGCCGTCCAAGTTCAGCCCGAACGGCATAACCATCCTACAGGAGCTAGGCGTGAGCTGGGCATGAGCTGGGCTCTGCGGCTGGATTTCCAGAAGAAACCGAGAAAGCTGGAGCAACTCTTTCTGGACGAATTGGTGGACTAAAAACATGCAGACCCAGCAACGGACTCCAGGTCACATTCGTACACTTCGAACTGCTCGCCGTAGTCTTCTTCCAGGATTTGTTTGGCTCTCAAGCAAAACGGACATGTTGAGAATGAAAACATCATAATCCTTAGACACTCGCATTTGGGAACCGGTGCCGATCTCGTGTGCTTGGCAGCTGTGATGGGATTTGTTCGTCAAACTTGCAGACAAACGACTTATTGGAGTTGATCTTGTCGTCAATCAGCTTGGATATTCTGTCTCTGTCGTAGTCCCCAGCCAACGTGTCCGCAATGAACTGCTTGGCTTGAGCAAGGGGCCTCATCTGGGACAAGACAGAGATCTGCTGTGTGACAGAGTCTGAGTTGGCCCACTCCTAAGATGCACCACTCGCTCGCTCGCTCGCCTTTGTGGGAGTTCACACGGCAAGTTCTTCTAAAGCGTTGGATACATGATGCTTGCTCACAACGGTGATAGCTGTGTGGAGAGGCAAGTATTACTTACAAATACAGATCTGTATACGTGTGTAATTATATGTGTATATGACTGCAATACAGATAGGGCCATAGGGTCATTTTATCATATATAGTAGCATACATATACTCTAATATGGGTGGGACAGTACCTTGCATATTCTTGAAGCTGAACTCTTGTTCATGTGTAATTACCACCGGCAAACTGAAACACGGGGTTTTTCCTTTCCCCAAGATCCTCACCACCTCAGATCTGTCAAGCATCGCGGGGCTCTCCGCCCCAATTTCCATTCTCGTCACTGGGTTTCTCCGAAGCCGACTTCACCCGACCCAGCTCCGCAGCCTCTAATGCCTGGCTGCGCTCGTCGTTCCGTAGGCGCCCGAGTTCGGGCGGTGGCACGTGGGGTGGTCTGAACGAATCAAAATACTCATATGCCTCGGTGGGCCCAGCCTTCACTCCCGAGGTGATCATGTTGTCCAGGAGCGGTCTCTCCATAGTCTGCGTCTTGCCACTTGCCTTCATTGGTGCCCGCCTCCCTCAGAACCAAGCAGAGCGACCAAGGTGTGCAGCACACCAGAACAGAGTTTGTCTATGCCCGCTCAGCTGACTAAACGGTTGAGATCAGCAGCTTAGACTTCTACATTGTTGGGAGAAAAGGGTGCTGGCGTCCATTCTCTCCGAAACTCTTGGGGCTGAGCAAGCCCGCCAAGCTGCTTTTGTGAGCCAGGAAGATTCCAGTGCCCACACTGAGGGCCGCCAACGTAGGCTTTGGGGCAAATCCATTGGGCGATGCGCTTGAGCTCTGTGCCGTCCCAGCGGCTCCGCGAAGGCCAGCGGCTCCGCGAAGGCCTCAGAAACGTTTGGACGAATTGGCAGCATCCCCAGGGCGCAGACTCTGTTTCCATCCCTTCCAGGCCTGGCGCGACTGTGCTTGGAATTGTTAACTCCATGGCTCACAAGAAGCTGAGCCAAACAGCAAGTGAAACAGCTGGATGGCTTTTGAAGTTCCAAAATCTTCGGCAGCACGGATATGATTCTAAGAACGTAGCAGACACCCCTTTGCATAGATACTCGCAGAAATCAGCTCTAGTATGGGATTGAGCAGTGATTGTAGGCGTGAGCATGCCGGACCGTCGAGTTTTACTCCTCGGTCACACTTTCTGTGATGGCAAGGAGCCATCGACGGAGTGCAGCTAGAGGCCTTGGCAATCGTTTCGACATTCATGCAGTCATTAAGTACCATATCACTTCTCCCTGGGGGAGAACACAAAGGACACTCAGGCCCACACTCTTTAGGGCCGAGCCCGCAAAATATGGCTACCGCAAAGGAAACGCTGGTTGCCTTGGCTTCACTTCACTTTGGATAAATGTCCTTTCTCATGAAAACTCAAATATTTGTTACTCAATCGTTGTGAATCATGCAGCTACGAGCACCCCGGACAAACATGTCACAAACAAAATGTATATATATCTATATATATATTTGTATAAACCTGAGAAGGGAGGGGACGAAGTGGAGAAAGAGTAGCTGGAAGTGGTGAAGTTGACATCGCAGCCACTCTCATAGGAGGTAGGAATGGAAAGTATAGTACATAGGTTCGGGGGGCGGGCCGTTTTCGTCGTGGTTCGGGCTCGCTTTGGAGGTGAAAAAGGGCACCCTCGAAGGAA